ACAGTGGCAGGCAGATGTGAAACCAGCAGCTTTCGGTCATCATCATTGTTAATTTGGTGTAGCTGGGCTCTGATCTCCCCGTTGCTGTTGAAACTGACAATGCCCACAAAGGTATGACTTTCAACAATCTGCATCAAGTAAAATTCTGCTGCTTGTTCCAGTCGAAGGAGTCTGTCAGCCTATGTCCCCAAAAGGAAAAAAGGTAACAACATTTGGTTGGTAAACAAAAATATGATTAAGTTACCTAATAAGCAAAGATCTCTGCTAATTCTTTAGGGTTTTGATTTGCAAGTTTTTTGAGTTGTAAAGAGTGACACCATGCTAGAATATCGTTAGATTAACTGCAGGCTCAAAAATGGATGCTTTTCTGGGAGAAGAGATTGGTTTGGGACTGTCCCTGACAAGCTGTTCATAGTTACCACTCTCTCAGAATACACATCCTCACTATTTCTCTCCAACTCAGAATTCTTTTAAAACTCAGCTCTTTCATTTAAATTTCAATCTGGGTAAGAGAAAATATTGCAAAGAAGTGGAGAGTGGCACTCAGAAGTATCTATCCTGGCACTAACTTCTGTTATAGTGTTCATCTTAGCCTGGGCACATCATCTGTAAAGTGGGAATCTATACTAATAAAAGGGTAACATGCTAATTAGACCGGACATCTTCTGGACATCCTTCTGGACAAAGCCACAGTGGCAGGGGCCAAGGCAGAGGTTGTTAGGGGTGATCAGGCCGGAAGGGGAGGGCAGTTAGGGGCAACCAGACCAGCAGGGGAGGGCAGTTAGGGATGATCAGGCTGGCAGGGGAGGGCAGTTAGGGGCAATCAGGCAGGCAGGCAGGCAAGCGGTTAGGAGCCAGTGGTCCTGGATTGCCGCTTGTTGCAGCAATGTCTGACTGCTGGTTTAGGCCTGATCCTGCAGGGGTCCCGGAGTGGAGAGGGTGCAAGCCGGGCTGAGGGACCACTCACCCTGCCGCCGTGCATGGATTTCATGCACCAGGCTTCTAGTAATAATATATTTCTTACTTACTAAAATAGAATTGCTGTGAGGATCAACTGAGATATGTGTACGACTGTACAGTTACTCCTTGAACTACTAACCAAGTATAAAGTAATATTAGTGACCAGTCTGGGGCAGGTGATGATGCTGATTAATTCATTAGGGTCACTTGTTTTGATGGCTGTGAACTGGAAGCTGAGCTTCGGTGACCACAGTGATAACCTTGTTCAGTGATAACCGTGGTCTCCATCTAGAGCCCAGGCATCTCTCTCAACATCTGTACCTGCACTTTGCACTGCTTAGGAAACATCACCAATTTAATGTCCCACAGGTATCTCAAATTCTACACACTTTGACTTCATTGCCTTCTTTCCCAACTATTATTTCTCTTACAATACTGAGAGGTAAGTTGGTAGAGTGGATAAAACAAGGACTTGCCTTCAACTTTTGCTAACTATGTGACTAGAGAGAAATTACTTATTTTTTTTTTAGCTTCAGGTTTCTATCTGCAAAATGGATACATAGTAACCACTTAGTAAATTTGCTCTTGCTCACATGACAGTCATCATCTCATTCTTCTCAATTATGCCCTCTACTCCTAACAAGTTAAACTAGCAAGCTGGAGCTCTCTTTTATTGTCCCTGTTACCAGCCAGCCCCCACATCCCTGACCATGTCCTATCAACTCGATGTCTTCAGTTTCTCTCAAATTCATTCCATATCTCCATCCTATCTGTCAATTCCTTAGAGCCACCCAATGTCAGTTATAACCATACCAGTTGATACACCTTCCCTGAACAAATCCTTCTAATTTTGCCTCTCAGTCATTGCACATACTTTCCCTACCTTGGAATGTCCTTCTCCCTCACCTCCCTCACTTCACCCAACCCAGCAGGTACTTTCACATCCTTCAAGGTTCAACGCTAAGTTCCCTTGCTCAGTGAAGTCTTACTCAGTCCCTTTCTTCTACAGACCTAGATGCTGCTTCGCAACCCTGTGGAGCTTCATAACACTCAGTTGTATTTATTCACACACATGTCATGTCTCCCTCACCACATTGTATTTCAAAGCAGAGACACTATTCTGTCATTTCTGTATCCCCCAAGCCAGCATGGTTTAGGCCCCTGGTAAGTAAATTAATATCAATGACAGTGTTATCAGGAAAAGGAAGGAAAGTTGGCTTTCCCATGAGTTTGTTACTTTAGGCTTATTTCTCATCTGCTTCTTTCAAGTACAACGATCTTTCCTTTCACTAAATCCATGCTTACTCAACACAGGCAGATAGCTGATATAAATTACCCTGAGACCATATTTGAGAAGAATATGCCCTTGTCAAACTACAGGTAGGCAAGATTGCAAAATTACCTAGAAGCTGAATGTATTAGTGGTGTTCCTAATATTTCAGAGACCAGCCAGGAAAGACAAATTTTCTAGGACTGCTGATTCGGACAATAAAAGAGGGTAAACTCTCCCTTAGGACAAATATTATTATAAAATAATAGCTACCAGTTATGAACCAAAAACTTAATATTATCTCATTTATTTCATCTCAACAACCCTATGAAGTAGATAGTGGAATGCTGTAAATGTTTAAAAACTGGTTTTATGGTGTGTGTGTGTGTGTGTGTGTGTGTGTGTGTGTGTGTGTGTGTGGAATGCTGTAAATGTTTAAAAACTGGTTTTCTGGTGTGTGTGTGTGTGTGTGAGAGAGAGAGAGAGAGAGAGAGAGAGAGAAGAGAGAAAGTAGAAAACCCTGATTTGTTGCAGTTGACAATTTCTGTGGAGTAAATACTCCCACTAAGGCTGATGTCAAGCTGTCCATGTGATGACATGGAATGCACAGTTGGAAGAGATGTGTAGCAGACCCATACAGGTATATAATAGAGCATAAATGACCTCAAGAGCATAGATCAGAGGTCAGTGGGCATTTTCTGCAAAAGGGTAGGTAGTAGATGTTTCAGGCTTGGTTTCAGAGACTAAGACTTAAACCAGTATCTGAGAGTTTGGGCGCTTTGGAGAGTGGGTTTCTGGAGGGCTGCTAGATTATCAGACAACTGAGATACGGTTTTCTGTCCACAGTGACATGGAAAATGTACACATAATGGATATGCACATTCGCTGCCAATTCACAGTCTCTTGCCTCCACCAAGGATCTTGCCTAGTGAGTGGAATGTGGACAGACCAGAGCCTTTCATTACATGTAAGAGTTTTGGAAAAGGGTCTTGGTGGGAAAATGTTGCAGTTAGTAATAAAAATAAAGGTTAGGAATTATCTATATATTTCATTTATCTGCATTATCTCAATTTCTGGGATACATTCTGAATTTGTTCCTCCTGCCCCCAAGAAAAGATGATGTCTATGACTATTCCAAACTTTTGGCTTCTCCCTCCTCTGCCCTTAGCCTTTGAAAATAAAAAAAGAATTAAGAACTGATAGGAAAAAATGATGAATGTTTTACAACCATTGTGGTTCAAAAATGTTACCTCTGCCATCTTGCTGGACACATCCAGCACTAAACAGACCACTTTGTCCCCCGCCTGGACAAGGGAGAAGGTGGGCGGAGGCGGAAGCTCGGTCCCGTTCATGGGAGAGCTGTGATGAAAGTCAGTGGAGTCTGAGATTACATCCCACGTACTTCTGAGGCTGCACATTTGGTTCTGTCGGTTTGGAGCTTCTTGGTTGTGGGTACTCGCATTGCAGAATTCAACCACCTGGAAGAAGAGCAAAGCCTGTGAGAGATTAAAGCTCTTCTGTCGTGCTAGACCTGCTGCTCGTGTTCAAGCAACTAAAGGTAAAAGGGAAGGCGAGCTGAAACATGGGGAAGAAGTGCCACAGTAATGTCCTTCTTTACTTCAGAACTGACATCAAATATACACCTAGCCTTTGGCACCCTTTGCTTGAAACGCTGGCACCCTTGTACCGAGATCAAGCTCTGTTATAGTCTATTTGCACTTGGATAACAGAGAGCAGACCACATATATATATCTTAATCTAAACAAAACAAAACAATCTTCCACCTTCCTTAGCATGATATTGTGTTAAAGAAAACACCCCTGGAGATGATATCTTGGTCAGCTTATTTCTTGAAATCATATTTAATGACTACTGCTCCTTTATGGATCAGTCAACATATATTGACCTAGTTCAAATATTGATCTCTGTAAAAACAGGATAAGGAGAAAACCAACTTAAATCTACTTCCTGATCTTTCTCCTTATTTGTAAATATAGGTAGAATTCATTTAATGATACTAGGCCTGTGTCAACAACCCTGTAAAGGTGTGGTTTGCATTTTAAAGTAATGTGTTACCATCTATTCCCAATGGCTATATTCCTACAAAGAATGGCTGCTTCCTGTTAATGGAACCAGGGACACTTAAAGCTAGAAGAATCTCTTCATCCCAGTTCTAATTCCATAGAAGAGGAAATGGAAGCTTCAAAGGGTTAATAATTGCATAAGAACACAAGTTTCTTAGTAGAATGGGGAGACAGGAGTAGAACCTACTTTCATTGTTGTTACTTGTTTTTAACTCTCTGTTTCATGACTGTGGTTAGGTGATTGTAAAGCTTATCTGACTGGGTATTAATGCGTTGATCTTTCAAAGGGTCACAAGGACAGTATCTAGTCACATCAATGTGGGTGAAATACATGAAATTTGATTGGCTTCATACACTAAAGCTATAAATTAAAAACGTAATGGATCACACAAAAATACTAAGAAATATCACTTCAAATTTAAGGAATGACTCCGTCTTGACTAAAACCAGACTGAAGAAAAAAGTTATCTAAAAATCAGTGTGTCAATCCAAGGGGTATTGGTCGGCTGTGGGAACAGACAACTTCACAGAGACGCATGCCCACGGTGCTTTAAGTTCAGTGGAGCAGAGATGACTCACAGACGTGACCTTCAGGTTTTTTGTGAAGATGGATAGATACATCTGGTCAGGAAGGCTGATGCCACTGAACCCCTGTATCACCTAAGTCCCTCCTTTCTGATTCCAAGCTCTCACAGCAGGCTTCTGGTGAGGAATTGACTGTTCCATGCTGCATCCTTCAGAGAGAAAATGGACTGGACTAAGGAGGCAAATATTGGATGCCCATGGCAGAGTACTCTTTTAAAATAATTTTTAAACCGGTGTTCTGGATTTATACACTAGTCTCTTGCCAGTTGGTGTGTAATGATGACAAGGTTGAGTTTCCCAACCTGCAAAGCCAGGGGTTAGTTGACTTCCCTTAGTAGAACCTGAAATTTTCTTTTTAAGTTCTAGACCAGTGGTTCTCAACCTTCTGGCCCTTTAAATACAGTTCCTCATGTTGTGACCCAACCATAAAATTATTTTCGTTGCTACTTCATAACTGTAATGTTGCTACTGTTATGAATCATAATGTAAATATCTGATATGCAGGATGGTCTTAGGCGACCCCTGTGAAAGGGTCGTTCGACCGCCAAAGGGGTCGCAACCCACAGGTTGAGAACCGCTGTTCTAGACTATGTGAAACAATGGAAAGATAATTAGTGCAATTAAAATAGGAGTGGATTGCTACCTCAAATGACAGCAGCGATCCTGTGCTATATCCCTCATTAACCCAGTACACCTTCCTGTGAAAAGATACAGGAACACCACTATGTGAGCAATTTATTTTTAGGTTTATAGGGCTCTCATTGTTAAAACACCTTCTCTGGAAAGCCAATAATCACTTTTCTTAAGGAATCTATTTTTGGTGATCATCTTTGCGGTCTCAATTACTTTATAATCTGTAAAATAAAAAGTAGATAAACTCTATGGCCCCCCAAGCTCTAAAAAATAGTGAATCTTATATTTTTTGTTTAAATGTTTAAAACATATCAGTCTGCCTTGGGGAGAGATGAGATCTTGTAGAAGTGTGTCATTCCAAGGCCATACTTACAGAAGATAGACTTTGCATGAACATTATTGATGCTGCTGCATTCTGCGTGCTATTGTATAAAAACATGCAACCTCCTTGGAAAAGCTCACTGATAATACAGTTCTCTTGGGGGCAAGGGCCTTTTTCACACACAAATATGCCCGTGATGTCAGATGAGCACCTAAAAATAGAAAGAAAAATTAGTTCTATTTTAGAAATACTTGTGTTTCTTCTTTACTAGCTCATATAATAATGAGTTACAAAGACTGTAGCTTGCTAAAAACACATAAAATATTTTTAAAACTGCTCTATTAAAGTTCAATTTAGAAATGGCCTCCACTTTATTTTAAAGAATTTGATCTTGATGAGAGGTTTTGTATTGCCAAGGGCTTTACCAACTAAACAAGGTCAAAGCAAAAGTTACCAGGAAATCAACGTGAACTTTTGGAAGTCCACAGAAGAGCATGAAAGACAGTATCCCAAGTCAGGGCTCCTTTGAGCTCATTGCCATTGGACATCAGAGGAAGAAGAGAATGGACACATAATGATATTTGAAAGGATTCCTTCCTAAATAGGTAATCTCAAATCGTTGAAGGGAGTGAAAAACAATACAACCTTTAGGAGAGGAATCAGTCAACAGCTACCAAAATTACAGCTCGGCGTACCCTTTGAGTCAGTAATTCTTGGAAGTTATTTAATAGATATACAGATCGGCCTGCATACATGAGAAATGGCACATATATAGCATTATCACCTGTAGTAATATTGGTAGTAAAAGATTGGGAACAACCCACTCGTACAACAGGAGAGTGACTGAAAAATTGTGTTACATCCACATAATAAAACACTATGTAATTATAAAAAAAGAATGAAGAAAATACACATTTTTAAAAAATCTTCTAGAGAAGTCATGAAAAAATAAGAAACTAATAAAAATGGTTATCTAGAGGGAATGAGAGAGCACAGGGTAAAGACAATGGTGGGTGTGAGATATCTAAGAATATAACTTTTGGATATTTGAGTCATGTAAGCATTTTAAAAATGTAATAACATTACAAAACTGAAAATTGTCAATTAAGTTTTAGCTGCCATTATAAACTTAACTGTAGATTAAAAAATAAATAAACTGAATTTTTAGCATGAGAAAATTACTAACCTTGTTACTTTAATTTGATTTTGCCCATTTATGTAGAAGGGTTTTTCATTGTTATATTCATCAAACACACCCCAACGGAGATGGGCCCATTCATGGACAAACACTCTGCCTGTGGATGAGAGAGCTTTTGTTTTGAGTTCCTAAAATCTCAGCAATGGACTTGCTAATCAGTGAAGATATAACAGTACCTGACTATCTGTACTCATTCCAAAGGGTTGAAGTACAATTCTCTCTTCTACTTTCATCTTTCTCACCCCATTCTCATCACCTCTCCTTTACCCTCCCCCCCCCCCCCCCCCCCCCCCCCCCCAACCATCATAAAAGAGGCAGAGTCCCATATGTCTAGTCCCATAAATGCAAACAGGTGATTTACTTGTACATCTATTTGAAACTAGTGAGCAGTCCTACATCTTCTCATTTCCTCAATGAAGCTGCGTAACAGGCTTCTATTGAGTTTCATATAGGCCTATAACGTCAGGATTTGGGGAAAAGAAAAGAAGAATATTTAAGTGCAATGAACTGAACGTTTACGTGCCAACAAAATTCAGATGTTGAAATCCTAATCCCCAATGTGATGGTATTAGGAGGTAGGGGCCTTTTGGGGGTCATTAGATCATGAGGGTGGAACCCCATAATTGATTAGTGACCTTGTAAAAGAGATTCCAGCCTTGGCTGATGTTACTTGGTGGTTAGAGTGTCAGCCTGCACACAGAAGGTTTTCAGGTTTGATTCCCAGTCAAGGGCATGTACCTGGGTTGCAGATTCCATCCCCTGCATAAGTTGGGGCGTGTGTGGGAGGCAACCAATTGATATGACTCTCTCACATCAATGTTTCTCTCTCTCTCTTTCTCTCTCTTTTCCTCCCTTCCACTCTCTCTAAAAAAAATCAATGCAAGAAATATCCTTGGGTGAGGATTAAGAACAAGAACAACAATAAGAGAGAATCTAGAGTGCTCCTTTCCTTTTCTGCCAGGTGAGGACACAATGAGAAGATGGCTGTTTATGTACCAGGAAGGGTATATTCAGTGTCACCTGCTGGTGCCTTGATCTTGGACTTCCAGGCTCCAGAACTGTGAGAAATTTCTGCTGTTTATAAGCCACCTAGTCTGTGATAGTCTGTTATAGCAGCCCAGACAAACTAAGATACCAAATAAGCAAATAAAACTTTCTTATTCTTCAGAACGGTGAAGAATAATTCTACTATCCAGAACGATGATTAAAATATTGCAGTCAGGGAGAAAGAAGGAGCAAAGAAATCATAGAACTTCCTCTCTAGCATAGATGTTTCCTTTTTTTATATACCCGATTCTTCACATTTATTTGCAACCCTTAGCTCATGGAAACCCTCATCCTCAGCATACAATCCTTTATAACTTTTTCTCTACCTCTCTAAATATTTCACTTCCTTCAACATTCAGATCAAAACTGACTTCTCCCTCCATGATGCTTTTCAGTTTAACTCCCCTTTCAAAGTGCACTTTTAAAAAAAATTGTTAAAGTTATGGAAACCCAGGAAGTGTTTGCTCAGTTGACTCAAGCTGTGGCATATTGTGCAATTTTTTGACCTTGGGACAAAGGAAGGAAGGGAATAGTATAAGTTGAAAGTGTTAAGGAAAAGTTTGTGCCTACTCATGGAATTTAGAAGTGCTGATGAAGTTATATATTTATGCAGTGATTATCAGCAACACATAGTTACCAGAAAAAAAAAAACATCTTACAAAGTTTTAAGTGTCTTATAAAATGTGTTTTATAGAGCATCTTGCCCCAACTCCTGCTAGCTATATAGAGGATAACAGAATCTATTTAGATTTAAATGGGGGTAATCATAGTAACATCATTGGAAGGCAATACTATCCTCCTATATAATAAAGAGCTAATATGCTAATTAGACTGAACAGCCGAACGACCTTCCGGATGAAGTTGGGGCTGCGAGGGCCAAGCCCCTTGCACAAATTTTGTGCATCGGGCCTCTAGTATGTTAAAATAAAAAACAAAAAATTAAGACTGGGATGGTTGGTCCTTGACCTTCTGCTCTTTTCTCACCATAGTTTCTCCTTCAGATCTCACCCACTAAATGCATTTCCAAACCTGACTACTTTCCCAAACTCCAGCCACACACATTCAACCACAGGCTGTTTTTTTTTCTACCAGGATAGTTCACTGCTCCTCACAATCAACTTGCCTCAATCCATACTTGTGGATTTCCCCCTTTAAGTTGGTTCCTTCCATTTCTGCCAAAAACTTGGTGTGTCCCTAATGCTGCTCACATACATCCCCCTTAACCTTCATACTTTAGCACTTCAGACCTCTAGTTCTCCTTTTCCCTTCTGGACTATCTCTCATCACGTAGAGTTGTTAGGATTCAACAAGATAACATTTGAAAAGCAAACAGCACAGCACCTAGAACATGGAAAATTTTCATTGTTGTTATTACTACCTTTCCTGTCCTTCTCATCTCACTGCCTCCACATTCCAGTCTCATGGCCTTGTACCTGACCTTCTCTTAGTTGTTCTTTTATCTGGTTTTCCCTCATTGATATGAGGAAGCCAGATAATCCTCACAGTCCAGTTCATCATCTCAAAGCAATGCTTTGATGTTGGCACTCCTGTGTTTATAAGCTTTCAGTGGTGAATTACTAATTTGGGCATTTGAAGCTCTCCATCACTAACCCCCATGTGTATTTCAGCATTTTCACCTACTACTTCACTGCCCACAGTCACTCTGCCCCATTAATAGGATCTACTGCTCAAATGTCTAAATATGCCCTGGATTCTTCTGCTAGGACAAATTTATCCATACTATTTCCACTGCTCTCTCCCCCTTTTCCTTTTATCAAAATGATATTCAACCTTGAAGATCCTCTGCTCAATGAAGCCATTTCTGACCATCCTTAGCTCAAAATGTTTTCTCCTTTCACTAAATTCTTACAGTACTAACTGTCTGAACCATTAACCTGGTGCTTAATTCTTTCTGGCCCACTTTGTTCCTCATTTTTTCATGGGTGTGTGGCCTATCTCCCAACCATATGGTAAGTCTTTGGCAAATTTCAGGTTCTCTGAGTCCTTTTCAGCACTAAGCCCAGAATATTGTAAAAAGTAATGGCAAATGTCTATTTCTTACCTCGTGATCCATAGCCAGCTGTTAAGTCATCATTCAGTAGAAAGTCAGGTGTGAAATAGATGTGTTTCCCCTCTTTTCCACACCCTCTATATTGTAGGGTAT